GAACAGGATTAAACAGAGGGGGAGGGGCTAACAGAGGGGAGGGGCTAACAGAGGGGGGGGCTAACAGAGGGGGAGGGGCTAACAGAGGGGGAGGGGCTAACAGAGGGGAGGGGCTAACAGAGGGGGAGGGCTAACAGAGGGGAGGGGCTAACAGAGGGGCAGGGGCTAACAGCGAGGGAGGGGCTAACAGACAGGGGCTAACAGGGGGAGGGGCTAACAGGGGAGGGGAGGGGGAGGGCTTACAGAGGGGGAGGGGCTAACAAAGGCCTCTGGAGCTCGGGCCTAATGAAATTATTATATTATTGTTAAGTTTTTTTCTCTGACCTTTTCCCATGATTCTCAGGACGACGATGCTGCTGTTTGGAGTTTGCCTGATGCTGCTGTTCCCGGGGTTGTGGGCGGCGACCTTTAAGATGGCTCTGATTGGCCCATGGTCATGTGACCCGCTGTACTCGCGCGCTATGGTGTCGACGGCGGTGAATCTGGCGTTGTCACGGTTACGCAGAGACGCAGGCCTCAGCTACTGGTACGACGTGAAGGTTCTGGACGAGAGCTGCTCCGCCTCCAGAGGTGAAAACACAGATTCACGTGGAACTTTTTTACTAAATCAGACTATTGACCCTTTTCAGAACTTCACCATGTTAATTAATCATTTTTGACCCTCTAAAGTTGGATTTGGCGTGATGTGATGTGGCGTTAGTGCATATTTGAGTAATCTTTAATCACTTAATTTCAAGACATTAATTTACTGATCTGCCCCGTTAACAGCTCCACTGGTGCAGGCCCAATGTGATGTACGCACGTCCTTCTCCAGTTCTATTACCCGTCCCCTTTGGAGGAGAGTCCTTGTGCTAAATATGTATCAGAGTTTCATCAGTTAAAAGGCACTTCGTGAAGAAAATTAAAATGTTGAAAATAAAGGAAGTATAACACAGTCTATGGAGTGGATCAGTGTATCGAGCAGGATCATTTTAGCTTTGTCCATCCTGCGTGTCCACTCCTGTCCGGCGAAGGCTTTAGTCTGACGATCATGTGGGTTTTACATTCGCTTCATGGGTTTGTGTGGCTAAATGTGCTTCCACTTTCCAAAATGTGCTTTAAGTTAAATGTAAAACCACCCGTACCAGCGAATACATTTTATACAACTGAATGTTTCTAAATGTGATATGAGGTGTTTCTGTCTCCTGTCATTTCTGCCAATCTTCAAAATGTGCATTAAAAACAAGGTGCTGGAAGAGCTCTGATGGAATAGTACTGGAACAGTCCTCGTGTTTGTGCTTTTGCCCCCAGCGCTGACAGAGTTCTCGTGTTTGTGCTTTTGCCCCCAGCGCTGACAGAGTTCTCGTGTTTGTGCTTTTGCCCCCAGCGCTGACAGAGTTCTCGTATTTGTGCTTTTGCCCCTCAGCGCTGACAGAGTTCTCGTGTTTGTGCTTTTGCCCCCAGCGCTGACAGAGTTCTCGTGTTTGTGCTTTTGCCCCCAGCGCTGACAGAGTTCTCGTGTTTGTGCTTTTGCCCCCAGCGCTGACAGAGCTCTCTGAGATGGAGGGTTATGGTCACGCCTACATTGGCCCCTTTAACCCCGCCCTTTGCCACGCTGCGTCCTTATTTGCTCAGCATTGGGAGGCGGGGCTGGCCTCTCCCGGGTGTCTGGATGCTGATTGGCCAAACCTTCCCCCGCTGACCCCACCCACTAAGGTCCTGTTCACCGTTTTACGTCACTTCGGCTGGGCGCATGTCGGCGTCATCACAGGTACAGTCGGAGCTGGTTTAATGTGGTTTCTGTCCAGGTTCAGGACCTGTTCAGTTTTGGTTTAGTGGTTTACTCCTAGTTGTTCATGAGATGTTCCTGTGTCGTGTTGCTCAGTTGATTTAAACAGGTTTTGACGCTGTCTTCCTCCTGGTGGAGGCAGGACGACAAGCGCCACCTGCAGTTCCACTTCCACCGGTAGGAAAACAGCACCAAAACCTGTTTAAATCAGCTGAGCGAGACGACACAGAAACATCACGTGACTCTGAGGAAGAGGAGCAGGGATCAGAACAAAACTGTCAGGAGGAAAACAAACTTTGGGTTTGAAAAAAGAACCTAATGATATAAATGACTGGAAGATCAAATGAACCTCACTGGACTAGTCCTCTTATACGTTTATAATCCTCTTATATGTGTGTGTGTGTGTGTGTGTGTGTGTGTGTGTATATATATATATCCTTATTTTTTCGTTCTATTTTGAATCCTTTTCTGTTGATCGTCAGCTCCCTCGGAGCTGTGGATGGGCACTGGGGAGGAGCTGGCGTCAGGGCTACGGGCTTTGGGTTTACCTGTCGCACCTGTCGTTTCCATGGATACAACAGGTCGACCGGAGGATGCTCTGAAGGCCATCAGAGAGGCGGACCAAGTCAAAGGTACGGACCAATCAGCATCCAGATATGTCTTTAAGTTACCATGGCAACGTTGCACTTGATGTTTCAGTGGTCATCCTGTGCATGAGCTCACTGCTGATTGGAGGAGAAGAGCAGAAAGAGCTCCTATTGGCTGCTCTGGACATGGGCATGATCTCAGACGGATATGTTTTCATCCCTTACGATGCGCTGCTGTATGCGATGCCCTACCAGGTACAACACTCCCACCTACAGGCAAAAAAACAAATAACCAACACAGTAGCACATATTTCTAAAGTAAAATGTCACCAAAGGTTAAACATTTAAGTTCATACTTTTATATTCTTTTAAAGTTTAAAGAGGGGGTTTTACTTTTTGTTTCCTGTTACAATGTGCTTCCTCATCACAAAGGACAAATTAAATTTGTCAATTGCACAAACATTTAGGACAAAAATGTTTCTCAGCTCATCCAAGCTGCTCTTCATTTGTGTCAGATGCTGGTGACACTGCCTTATATCTGCCTGAAGGGGGCGCTCACTACACTGAAACTTCTCTCAAACTAACACCATACTTGTTTACAGTTTGTGTTTGTAGCTCAGCCTCTTCATCCGTCCTGAGTGTGGGATCGTATCAGAGTGTTTTCACTCCTCTGGACCTGACCTGGACCTGACCTGGACCTGACCTGGACCTGACCTAAACCTGACCTGGACTTGACTTGGACCTGACTGTTGTTCTCTTTGTTCTACGTCTGAGGATGGAGTTACAGATGGAGACAGATGTAGTCTGATGCCTCCATTTCTGTTCAAGGAGGGAATGTCTCTCCTAACATAAAAATAAAAATAGCCTTTTTAACTCTTCTCTCAAACTGTTTCTTTTCTCTGGCTCAGATCTCTTCATCAAAAACATGCCTGAAAAGGTTTCAGATGTCATCCGTGCATGTCTGAGTAATCAAACTATTCAAACACTGACTGTATGTGACTGTGCTCTGAAGGGGGAGGGACTTTCTTTAAATGAGATGGAGACTTTTTATTTTTGCTGATTAAATTTGTCTATGTCTATAAACTTATACCTGTCTGTGATTGGCTCGTGTTTGTTGCTTCTGTCCAATTAGGAAGTGTCATACTCTCAACTGAGCAACAGCACCCGCCTCCGTCATGCCTACGGCGCCGTCCTCACCGTTACCATGGCGTCGGACCAGAGTTTCTACGAAGTGTTCAGGGACGCACAAATAAATAGAGAAATACGTTCGCCTGTGTCTGCGACTGAGGTCAGTACGACGCTCTTTCTCTCTCTGTTTCCTCGGCTGTTTTTCTGTCAGAAGTGTGACAGATTTTCCCTCAATGTTTCTTTGTTATTTCCCCAAATGTTCAACTGTAGAGTGTTCACGCTGTAGAGTGTTCACGCTGTAGAGTGTTCACGCTGTAGAGTGTTCACGCTGAAGAGTGTTCACGCTAGAGTGTTCACGCTGTAGAGTGTTCAACTGTAGAGTGTTCTGTAGAACTGTTAGAGTGTTCACGCTGTAGAGTGTTCAACTGTAGAGTGTTCACGCTGTAGAGTGTTCAACTGTAAAGTGTGTTCATGCTGTAGTGTTCAACTGTAGAGTGTTCAGTGTTCACGCTGTAGTGTTCAGCTGTAGAGTGTTCACGCTGTAGAGTGTTCACGCTGTAGAGTGTTCACGCTGTAGAGTGTTCACGCTGTAGAGTGTTCAACTGTAAAGTGTTCATGCTGTAGAGTGTTCAACTGTAGAGTGTTCAACTGTAGAGTGTTCATGTTCACGCTGTAGAGTGTTCACGCTGTAGAGTGTTCACGCTGTAGAGTGTTCACGCTGTAGAGTGTTCACGCTGTAGAGTGTTCATGCTGTAGAGTGTTCACGCTGTAGAGTGTTCACGCTGTAGTGTTCACTGTAGAGTGTTCATGCTGTAGAGTGTTCACTGTAGTGTTCACGCTGTAGAGTGTTCATGCTGTAGAGTGTTCACGCTGTAGAGTGTTCAACTGTAGAGTGTTCACGCTGTAGAGTGTTCATGCTGTAGAGTGTTCAGTGCTGTAGAGTGTTCACGCTGTAGAGTGTTCACACTGTAGAGTGTTCACGCTGTTAGACGCTGTAGAGTGTTCAACGCTGTAGAGTGTTCACGCTGTAGAGTGTTCAACGTGTTCACTGTAGAGTGTTCACGCTGTAGAGTGTTCAACGCTGTAGAGTGTTCACGCTGTAGAGTGTTCAACTGTAGAGTGTTCACGCTGAAGAGTGTTCACGCTGTAGAGTGTTCACGCTGTAGAGTGTTCACGCTGTAGAGTGTTCACGCTGTAGAGTGTTCAACTGTAGAGTGTTCACGCTGTAGAGTGTTCACGCTGTAGAGTGTTCACGCTGTAGAGTGTTCACAGTGTTCATGCTGTTGCTGTAGAGTGTTCAACTGTAGAGTGTTCACGCTGACTGTAGAGTGTTCACGCTGTAGACTGTGTGTTCACGCTGTAGAGTGTTCACGCTGAAGAGTGTTCACGCTGTAGAGTGTTCACGCTGTAGAGTGTTCACGCTGTAGAGTGTTCACGCTGTAGAGTGTTCACGCTGTAGAGTGTTCACGCTGTAGAGTGTTCACGCTGTAGAGTGTTGTAGAGTGTTCAACTAGAGTGTTCACGCTGTAGAGTGTTCACGCTGTAGAGTGTTCACGCTGTGTTTGTAGAGTGTTCACGCTGTAGAGTGTTCACGCTGTAGAGTGTTCAACGCTGTAGAGTGTTCACGCTGTAGAGTGTGTCACGCTGTAGAGTGTTCAACTGTAGAGTGTTCACGCTGTAGAGTGTTCACGCAGTGTTCTGTAGAGTGTTCACGCTGTAGAGTGTTCACGCTGTAGAGTGTTCACGCTGTAGAGTGTTCAACTGTAAAGTGTTCAACTGTAGAGTGTTCACGCTGTAGAGTGTTCACGCTGTAGAGTGTTCACGCTGTAGAGTGTTCACGCTGTAGGTTCTTCACACTGTTCACAGCAAAAACTAGAATGTTAAAATTTCAGGGTAAAATATTTCAGAGTTGTTTTGAACCAAAAAGTGTTATTTTAACTATTTGAAAGTTAAATGCATGTTTGAGTTGAGGTTATTTGCCAGAGTTGATATGGTTGAAGTAAATTTAAGGAGGCGCGGTCCACGCGGCGTATGGGAGGAAGTGTACGGGTGGAGACGTACAGGAGGAGGTGTAGGGGAGGAGTTGTGGATCGTACGGGAGGAGTTGTGGATCATTGTTCTCCTCCATGTAGTGTTGGCCTCAAAAGGCCCAGCCGTACGTGCTCCTTCGTTCGTGCAGCTTTTCTCCTGCTAATTCAGCTTCGCTCTGAAGTTTCTCAGACTGGGCCTTTCCTGCAGCTCTACAGGCTACAGGAAATGTTAAGTCTGGGTTTCCAAACACGTCTGTCGTTTACGCATCTTTGGATTTGGCACAGACGGGGCGATGTGCACGAGGCGATGTGCACGAGGCTTTTGTGCTTGTAGGTCTCGATCTACAATTAACATAGTGTAAAAAATTAAAATTTAAGCTAGTTAATTGTATTAGACTAAACAATTAAAGAAACTAGTACAGATATAAAGGGCATAATAGTGAGAAAAGTTATCGTATAATGTAGGCTGTATGTGCACATGGAGCAGAAACTCTAACTCTAAAAACTGTGGGAGGAAAAAGAGGAACAGTTTGTAATGGAAAATCAGGTGCAACATGCAACACAAATAGTTTAGTTTAATTTAGCACATTCTTAGTAAATATACCCCAGTGTGACTCTCAGTGAAGCGTGTCTCTGATTGGTCTTTCACATGGGTTCTTCTCTGCTCGCTCTTTGGCTCGGTCTATAACCTGGTTTCTCTTGTTTTTAAAGGTTTCTCCTCTGTTCGGCTCGGTCTATAACATGGTGCACTATGTGGCGAATGCTGTGGAGGAGCGTCATAAAGCTGGAGGTGGACACTGGGTTAAAGGAGACTCCCTCATCCAGTCAGGAGGAGGCTTTTCCTTCAAGGGATTCAACCAGGTACAACCACATCTGCTCCTGCCGCTCACTGTCTCTGCTCCTGCCGCTCACTGTCTCTGCTCCTGCCGCTCACTGTCTCCTGCTCTGCTCCTGCCGCTCACTGTCTCTCTGCTCCTGTCTCTGCTCCTGCCGCTCACTGTCTCTGCTCCTGCCGCTCACTGTCTCTGCTCCTGCCGCTCACTGTCTCTGCTCCTGCCGCTCACTGTCCCTGCTCCTGCCGCTCACTGTCTCTGCTCCTGCCGCTCAGCGTCTCTGCTCCTGACGCTCACTGTCTCTGCTCCTGCCGCTCACTGTCTCTGCTCCTGCCGCTCAGCGTCTCTGCCCCTGACGCTTCCACTCACTTGTCTCTGTGTGTTTTCAGATGTTGTACGGTGGCCGTTCTGGTCTCGGTCTACAGGCTCGGTTCCTGGTTCTGGACTCTGATGGGGACCGGTTTGTTCCGACACACAGTCTGGACGCGGCACACACAGACGGGCAGATAGGAGGACTCAGAGAACTGTCTCACTCCTTCATTTTCCCTGGAGGAAAACCCAACAGCGCCGCGTTCTGCTGGTTCAGCCCGGACTACGCCTGCAGCCCCGGTTTGTGTTAGACCCATTTGCAGCATAAATGAAAAGTCAAAGCTTTGACATAAATGTGTCCATGAGACAATAGTGATTCTCAAGAGGACCTCCACCCAGAGAACCTTCACCTGACTCACCTCCACTGGTCCCTTAAAGCAAACTCAGAGCAGTCAAAAAACCAGAGTCTATGTAACGGTACAAAAGTTTACACTAAAGACCCAAACCCTGTTCCTAACCTTAACCATGACAGATTTATGTCTAATCTTAACCAGACACAGGGCCTACGGCAACACACACGGACAAACTACATATAATATGTTGTGCCTTTTATGCCGTTAATAATGATTGTTAAAAGACCATGAGCTAAGACATCTGAAAGTGTCTTCGAGGTGTTTATAAAGTAAACTCATTAAAACGGAGAGGGACATGTGGGTGGAGGTGCATCCTGCTGGAGGTCTGCAGCCACACTGGTGTGGTTTTCTTTTATTGGCCCAAATTTACTTTGTGAAATGAAACAATATGTTCAAACAGGTCACACAGTGTAGCTCCATCACACGTGTGTGTTGAATGTTTTTCACTGCGTCTCGTTGGTTTCCTCGGGTCATGCAGAGAAGGCGAATTCTTGTTCATATTTATCAAACTATACTTGAAACACCTCGCTCCATAAGCCCAACCTGGAAGTGAGTCGTCGCCTGCCATGATGAAAACTGTTTGACTGTGCGCTGAGTTAGGAAGGAGTTAGGAAAAGGAGCCTGCATATTTCCTTTCAATGCTCCTTTATTATAGGAACCTTGGTAGCTTCCTAACCAGCGCTAAGGAGCTCACCCCAAAACTAACCCACATGGCTCATTTGTCCATGGGTCATTTGCATAAACTCCTGATGAAGCCCACGCTCCGCCCCCGCGCTCCCCCCCGCGCTCCGCCCCCGCGCTCCGCCCCGCGCTCCGCCCCGCCGCTCCGCCCCCGCTCCGCCCCCCGCTCCGCCCCCGCCGCCCCGCCCGCCCCGCTCCGCCCCCACGCTCCGCCCCCGCGCTCCGCCCCCGCGCTCCGCCCCCCGCTCCGCCCCCCCGCTCCTCCCCCCCCCCCGCGCTCCGCCCCCTACGCTCCGCCCTGCGCTCCGCCCCGCGCTCCGCCCCCGCGCTCCGCCTCCGCGCTCCGCCCCGCGCTCCGCCCCCGCGCTCCGAACCCGTATTTGAAATGTATTTAAATAATTTTTTGTCATATACAAACTGTATTTTCAGGAATGGACACGGCGACCATGTGCTTTCTGTTCCTCGTGGTCTGCGCTCTGATTGGAGGATTTTTCATTTGGTTTAAGTAAATACATGTTCCTTATTAAAACTTTGAATATAAAAATCTGATTAAAGTTAAACAAATGTATTTCTGTGTAACAGAAAGTTCCGACGGGCATCACAAGCGTCCAAACTGGTCTACGGTCTGGACGACATCGTCTTCATCGACACGCAGGTCTCCAAGAAGGTCAGAGCCACTCCACAGTGTTACATGCTTCTTGAAGAGTAGAGGTAGAACAATTCACCAGGTCAGAAAAACCTTTAAAATAACAGTACATGTTCTACGAGGGTTAAATATGACATTTCAACAGAATGGAGCCCTTACTGGAAAATGTAAAAATGAGCAAAGTACAAACCCGAGGCACACGGCTGAACATATTAAAGGTTAGAGTTCTTTATTAGACGGAGGGAAGCCAGAGTGTTTCCAGCAGCTGGTGGTGCTCATCAGGAAGTAAATGTGGAACAAGACTCACAGGTGTCATTAAATATCAATATCACATTCTTCAAGGTTGGACAACCTGGAAAATTTGACAAATACATATATATATATTTTTCAAACTACAGTATGGTGCATCTGTCTGTCTCTCTTTCTCTTTGTCTCTTTGAGTCTCTGTATGTTTCTTTCTGCTTTGTCACTCTAACCCTAACCCTTTGTGAGAGTCTCTTTCTCTGTTATGTTTGTCTCTCTCTGTCTCTCTTTGTGTCTCTTTGTGTCTCTTTGTGTCTCTTGTCTCTGTGTCTCTGAGTGTCTCTCTCTCTGTCTTCTCTGTTCTTTGTGTCTCTTTGTGTCTCTCTGTGTCTCTCTGTCTCTGTTTGTGTCTCTTTGTGTCTCTCTGTGTCTCTCTGTCTCTCTTTGTGTCTCTCTCTTTGTGTCTCTGAGTGTCTCTGAGTGTCTCTCTGTCTCTCTCTGTGTCTCTGTCTCTTTGTGTCTCTTTGTGTCTCTGAGTGTCTCTCTGTCTCTTTGTGTCTCTCTTGTGTCTCTCTTGTGTCTCTTTGTGTCTCTGAGTGTCTCTGAGTGTCTCTCTGTCTCTCTCCCTCCTTATCTTCATTTTCATATTTTGTTTTTGTGGCAGAAATTGAACGATGATTCGATCATGAAGAGTTTGGTGGAGATAAAGACTCCGCTCAGGTCCATCGCTCGCAGCTACATCCTGTCCACTCCAGAGAGCTCCAACGTGGGAATGCTAGAGGTGACTGCTCTGACCCCCGACCCCTGACCCCTGACTTTATTATTCCAAATTAAATAGTTCTCAATTTAAATATTCTCCTTGGAGTTTACATGGAAATATTCATTCCGATTTGAGGTTTACATGGAAAACTCATTAAATCGCCTTTAATTCCGCTCAGTGGAACTGAGTGTGAGGCTGCTCTGCCTCGGCCCAGTCCCACATCCCACTCGCAAATCCAAAGAGACGTGGATGAAAGTCCAAAGCCACGACTGGTGGAGCCGGATCGTCCGGATCAACACATTAGAAGGACGACACAATGAGCATGAAGCACCAGCATGATTTTAACAAGAACAAACCACAAACAGGATCCACAAAACTAATTTAAAAATCAGAAGAAACCAAACACTTACTTCACAATTAAGTTTAATTCTGAATAATCATTAGAAATGAAGTGTTAAGTGAATTAAGTGTTTACATGGTCATTTTAAAGTGGAATAAATGTTCATTCTGAATTCAATTATTAGAGCTCAGCTTATTAAAACTCTCATGTAAACGTCCTTGACGACCTTCACAGGGACAAACACCGACGGTTTACAGTTTACAGCAGTTACATTATTACAGATGATTCAACAAAAGAAATAAAACTAAAACTAACTAAACATTCATAATTAAGTAACACTGTCTTTCTCACCTCCTCCCCCTCTTTCCTTTCTTTTTCTCCTTCGTTCTGTGTTTCAGGGTGACTGTGTTTGGTTGAAGAAGATTCTGGTGGGAAAAGGCCTGACGGCGATAAACTCCAGCACCAAGAGCCTGTTTAGTCAGGTACAGACTACTCCTCCTCCTCCTCCTCCTCCTCCTCCTCCTCCTCTCTCCTCTCCTCCTCCTCCTCCTCCTCCTCCTCCTCCTCTCTCTCCTCCTCCTCCTCCTCCTCTCCTCCTCCTCTCTCCTCCTCCTCCTCCTCCTCTCTCTCCTCCTCCTCCTCCTCCTCTCTCCTCCTCCTCCTCCTCCTCCTCCTCCTCCTCCTCCTCCTCCTCCTCCTCCCTCCTCCTCCTCCTCCTCCTCCTCCTCCTCCTCCTCCCTCCTCCTCTCCTCTCCTCCTCCTCCTCCTCTCTCCTCCTCCTCCTCCTCCTCCTCCTCCTCTCTCCTCCTCCTCCTCCTCCTCCTCTCTCTCCTCCTCCTCCCTCCTCCTCCTCTCCTCCTCCTCCTCTCCTCCTCCTCCTCCTCCTCCTCCTCCTCTCCTCCTCCTCCTCCTCCTCCTCCTCCTCCTCCTCCTCCTCCTCTCCTCTCTCCTCCTCCTCCTCCTCCTCCTCCTCCTCTCCGTCCTCTCCTCCTCCTCCTCCTCCTCCTCCTCCTCCTCCTCCTCTCTCCTCCTCTCTCCCTCCTCCTCCTCCTCTCCTCCTCCCTCTCCTCCTCTCCTCCTCCTCCTCCTCCTCTCTCCTCCTCCTCCTCCTCCCTCCTCCTCCTCCTCTCTCCTCCTCCTCTCCTCCTCCTCTCCTCCTCCTCCTCCTCCTCCTCCTCCTCCTCCTCCTCCTCCTCCTCCTCTCCTCCTCCTCCTCCTCTCCTCCTCCTCCTCCTCCTCTCTCCTCCTCCTCCTCCTCCTCCTCCTCCTCCTCCTCTCTCCTCCTCTCTCCTCCTCCTCCTCCTCCTCCTCCTCCTCCTCCTCCTCCTCCTCCTCCTCCTCCTCCTCTCCTCCTCTCCTCCTCCTCCTCCTCCTCTCCTCCTCCTCTCCTCCTCTCCTCTCCTCTCCTCCTCCTCCTCCTCCTCCTCTCTCCTCCTCCTCTCCTCCTCCTCCTCCTCCTCCTCTCTCCTCCTCCTCCTCTCCTCTCTCTCCTCTCCTCCTCCTCTCCTCTCCTCCTTCTCCTCTCTCTCTCGTCCTCCTCTCCTCCTCCTCCTCCTCCTCCTCCTCCTCCTCCTCTCCTCCTCCTCCTCCTCTCTCTCCTCCTCCTCCTCCTCCTCCTCCTCCTCCTCTCTCCTCCTCCTCCTCCTCCTCCTCCTCCTCCTCTCCTCTCCTCTCCTCCTCCTCCTCCTCCTCCTCCCTCCTCCTCCTCTCTCCTCCTCCTCCTCCTCCTCCTCTCCTCTCGCTCCTCCTCCTCCTCCTCCTCCTCCTCCTCCTCCTCCTCTCCTCCTCTCCTCTCGTCCTCCTCCTCTCCTCCTCCTCTCCTCTCTCCTCCTCCCTCTCTCCTCTCGTCCTCCTCCTCCTCTCCTCTCCTCTCCTCCTCCTCCTCCTCCTCTCCTCCTCCTCCTCCTCTCCTCCTCTCCTCCTCCTCCTCCTCCTCCTCCTCTCCTCCTCTCCTCCTCTCCTCCTCTCCTCTCGTCCTCCTCTCGTCCTCCTCCTCTCCTCCTCCTCTCCTCTCCTCTCTCCTCCTCCTCCTCCTCTCCTCCTCCTCCTCCTCCTCCTCTCCTCCTCCTCCTCCTCTCCTCCTCTCCTCCTCTCCTCCTCCTCCTCCTCCTCCTCCTCCTCCTCCTCCTCCTCCTCCTCCTCCTCCTCTCTCCTCCTCTCCTCCTCTCCTCCTCCTCCTCCTCCTCCTCCTCCTCCTCCTCTCCTCCTCCTCCTCCTCTCCTCGTCCTCCTCCTCCTCCTCCTCCTCTCCTCCTCCTCCTCCTCCTCCTCCTCTCCTCCTCCTCGTCCTCCTCCTCCTCCTCCTCCTCCTCCTCTCTCCTCCTCCTCTCCTCCTCCTCTCTCCTCCTCTCCTCCTCTCTCCTCTCCTCCTCCTCCCTCTCCTCCTGTCTTCTTCTCCACTCTGTACGTCCTAACGCCACATCTCCTTGTCTCCTCTCTATGTGTCCTAACCCCTCGTCTCCTCGTCTCCTCTGTAGCTGAGGGAGATGCGTCACGAGAACTTGAACCTGTACCTGGGCCTGTTCTTGGACTCTGAGATGTTTGCTTTGGTGGTGGAACATTGTCCCAGAGGAAGTTTGGCAGATTTACTCGCAGACAGCGACATGAGACTCGACTGGATGTTCAAATCCTCTCTGCTCATCGACCTGATCAAGGTACAGTGTGTTACAAGTGTTAGAACAGAAGAGTTAAAACAGAAGAGTTAAAACAGAAGAGTTAAAACAGAAGAGTTAAAACAGAAGAGTTAAAACAGAAGAGTTAAAACAGAAGAGTTAAAACAGAAGAGTTAAAACAGAAGAGTTAAACAGAGAAGAGTTAAAACAGAAGAGTTAAAACAGAAGAGTTAAAACAGAAGAGTTAAAACAGAAGAGTTAGAACAGAAGAGTTAGAACAGAAGAGTTAAAACAGAAGGAGTTTAAAACAGAAGAGTTAGAACAGAAGAGTTAAAACAGAAGAGTTAGAACAGAAGAGTTAAAACAGAAGAGTTAGTTAAAACAGAAGAGTTAGAACAGAAGAGTTAAAACAGAAGAGTTAGAACAGAAGAGTTAGAAACAGAAGAGTTAAAACAGAAGAGTTAAAACAGAAGAGTTAGAACAGAGAGTTAGTTAAAACAGAAGTGTTAAAACAGAAGAGTTAAAACAGAAGAGTTAGAACAGAGAGAGAACAGAAGAGTTAAAACAGAAGAGTTAGAACAGAAGTGTTAAAACAGAAGAGTTAGAACAGAAGAGTTAAAACAGAAGAGTTAAAACAGAAGAGTTAGAACAGAAGAGTTAAAAAAAGAGTTAAAACAGAAGAGTTAAACAGAAGAGTTAGAACAGAAGAGTTAAAACAGAAGAGTTAAACAGAAGAGTTAGAACAGAAGAGTTAAACAGAAGAGTTAGAACAGAAGAGTTTAAAACAGAAGAGTTAAACAAAGAGTTAAACAGAAGAGTTAGAACAGAAGAGTTAAAACAGAAGAGTTAGAAAACAGAAGAGTTAAAACAGAAGAGTTAGAACAGAAGAGTTAAACAGAAGAGTTTAGAAAGAGTTTAAAACAGAAGAGTTAAAACAGAAGAGTTAGAACAGAAAGAGTTAAAACAGAAGAGTTAGAACAGAAGAGTTAAAACAGAAGAGTTAGAACAGAAGAGTTAAAACAGAAGAGTTAAAACAGAAGAGTTAGAACAGAAGAGTTAAACAGAAGAGTTAGAACAGAAGAGTTAAAACAGAAGAGTTAGAACAGAAGAGTTAGAACAGAAGAGTTAAACAGAAGTGTTAGAACAGAAGAGTTTAAAACAGAAGAGTTAAAAACAGAAGAGTTTAAAACAGAAGAGTTAAAACAGAAGTGTTAGAACAGAAGTGTTAAAACAGAAGAGTTAGAACAGAAGAGTTAGAACAGAAGAGTTAAAACAGAAGAGTTAAAACAGAAGAGTTAGAACAGAAGAGTTAGAACAGAAGAGTTAAAACAGAAGAGTTAAAACAGAAGAGTTAAACAGAAGTTAAAACAGAAGAGTTAGAACAGAAGAGTTAGAACAGAAGAGTTAGAACAGAAGTGTTAGAACAGAAGAGTTAAAACAGAAGAGTTAAAACAGAAGAGTTAGAACAGAAGAGTTAAAACAGAAGTGTTAGAACAGAAGTGTTAGAACAGAAGAGTTAAAACAGAAGTGTTAGAACAGAAGTGTTAGAACAGAAGAGTTTAAAACAGAAGTGTTAAAACAGAAGAGTTAAAACAGAAGAGTTAAAACAGAAGTGTTAGAACAGAAGTGTTAGAACAGAAGTGTTAGAACAGAAGTGTTAGAACAGAAGTGTTAAAACAGAAGAGTTACAACAGAAGTGTTAAACAGAAGAGTTAAAACAGAAGTGTTAGAACAGAAGTGTTATAAAAGAAGTGTTAAAACAGAAGTGACTTATGTGTTATAACATAGTAATACAAAAAACAGTAACTGTGGCTCCTCGTCTCAGTCCTGCTGAATCCTGCTTCTCTTTTGTTTAACTCTTATATTTGTAGTGGTGTTTAAATGTTTTATGTTAAGAAATAACAAGTTTCATGATCGTAAATACATAGAGCTGGTGTAGTGCGCCCTCAAGTGGCCATTAACATACCGTACACTTAAGTTACTCTGCTCTCAAAATAAATAAATTATGAATCTGATGAGGACTGAAATGAGAACAAAAGTGTAATATGTTTTTTTTTTGTGTTAAACTTAGACAAACTTTATTGATCCACAGGGGAACTGATTTGGACACATGAGTCACACATCACAATATAAAATAATAATAAAGAGCAAAAATATAAATGGTAATGATAAATTCTAAATAAGTAGCAAAAAAGATCAAGAGACTTGTGAAATAAAACATAATTATAAAAATATAAATGTACAAGTCAAAATAAAATAGAAAGATGAGTAATAAAATTAAAAATCACAGCTTTATACAAGAAGTGAGAGGAAGACAGGACACAGGGTCACATAAGGGTGAGTTGTACAGTTGTAGGGAGTATTATCTGTCACATAAGGGTGAGTTGTACAGTTGTAGGGAGTATTATCTGTCACATAAGGGTGAGTTGTACAGTTGTAGGGAGTATTATCTGTCACATAAGGGTGAGTTGTACAGTTGTAGGGAGTATTATCTGTCACATAAGGGTGAGTTGTATAGTTGTAGGGAGTATTATCTGTCACATAAGGGTGAGTTGTACAGTTGTAGGGAGTATTATCTGTCACATAAGGGTGAGTTGTACAGTTGTAGGGAGTATTATCTGTTACATAAGGGTGAGTTGTACAGTTGTAGGGAGTATTATCTGTTCACATAAGGGTGAGTTGTATAGTTGTAGGGAGTATTATCTGTCACATAAGGGTGAGTTGTACAGTTGTAGGGAGTATTATCTGTCACATAAGGGTGGAGTTGTACAGTTGTAGGGAGTATTATCTGTCACATAAGGGTGAGTTGTATAGTTGTAGGGAGTATTATCTGTCACATAAGGGTGAGTTGTACAGTTGTAGGGAGTATTATCTGTCACATATAAGGTGAGTTTGTACAGTTGTAGGGAGTATTATCTGTCACATAAGGGTGAGTTGTACAGTTGTAGGGAGTATTATCTGTCACATAAAGGGTGAGTTGTACAGTTGTAGGGAGTATTATCTGTCACATAAGGGTGAGTTGTACAGTTGTAGGGAGTATTATCTGTCACATAAGGGTGAGTTGTATAGTTGTAGGGAGTATTATCTGTCACATAAGGGTGAGTTGTACAGTTGTAGGGAGTATTATCTGTCACATAAGGTGAGTTGTACAGTTGTAGGGAGTATTATCTGTCACATAAGGGTGAGTTGTATAGTTGTAGGGAGTATTATCTGTCACATAAGGGTGAGTTGTACAGTTGTAGGGAGTATTATCTGTCACATAAGGGTGAGTTGTACAGTTGTAGGGAGTATTATCTGTCACATAAGAAGGGTGAGTTGTACAGTTGTAGGGAGTATTATCTGTCCACATAAGGGTGAGTTGTGTACAGTTGTAGGGAGTATTATCTGTCACATAAGGGTGAGTTGTTGTACAGTTGTAGGGAGTATTATCTGTCACATAAGGGTGAGTTGTACAGTTGTAGGGAGTATTATCTGTCACATAAGGGTGAGTTGTACAGTTGTAGGGAGTATTATCTGTCACATAAGGGTGAGTTGTACAGTTGTAGGGAGTATTATCTGTCACATAAGGGTGAGTTGTACAGTTGTAGGGAGTATTATCTGTCACATAAGGGTGAGTTGTATAGTTGTAGGGAGTATTATCTGTCACATAAGGGTGAGTTTGTACAGTTGTAGGGAGTATTATCTGTCACATAAGGGTGAGTTGTTGTACAGTTGTAGGAGTATTATCTGTTCACATAAGGGTGAGTTGTACAGTTGTAGGGAGTATTATCTGTTACATAAGGGTGAGTTGTACAGTTGTAGGGAGTATTATCTGTCACATAAAGGTGAGTTGTATAGTTGTAGGGAGTATTATCTGTTACATAAGGGTGAGTTGTTGTACAGTTGTAGGGAGTATTATCTGTTACATAAGGGTGAGTTGTACAGTTGTAGGGAGTATTATCTGTTACATAAGGGTGAGTTGTATAGTTGTAGGGAGTATTATCTGTCACATATGGGTGAGTTGTATAGTTGTAGGGAGTATTATCTGTTAGATAAGGGTGAGTTGTACAGTTGTAGGGAGTATTATCTGTTACATAAGGGTGAGTTGTACAGTTGTAGGGAGTATTATCTGTCACATAAGGGTGAGTTGTATACAGTTGTAGGGAGTATTATCTGTCACATAAGGGTGAGTTGTTGTACAGTTGTAGGGAGTATTATCTGTCACATAAGGGTGAGTTGTACAGTTGTAGGGAGTATTATCTGTTACATAAGGGTGAGTTGTACAGTTGTAGGGAGTATTATCTGTTACATAAGGGTGAGTTGTTGTACAGTTGTAGGGAGTATTATCTGTTACATAAGGGTGAGTTGTACAGTTGTAGGGAGTATTATCTGTTACATAAGGGTGAGTTGTACAGTTGTAGGGAGTATTATCTGTACATAAGGTGAGTTGTACAGTTGTAGGGAGTATTATCTGTTACATAAGGGTGAGTTGTACAGTTGTAGGGAGTATTATCTGTTACATAAGGGTGAGTTGTACAGTTGTAGGGAGTATTATCTGTTATATAAGGGTGAGTTGTACAGTTGTAGGGAGTATTATCTGTTACATAAGGGTGAGTTGTACAGTTGTAGGGAGTATTATCTGTTACATAAGGGTGAGTTGTACAGTTGTAGGGAGTATTATCTGTTACATAAGGGTGAGTTGTACAGTTGTAGGGAGTATTATCTGGTACATAAGGGTGAGTTGTACAGTTGTAGGGAGTATTATCTGGTACATAAGGGTGAGTTGTACAGTTGTAGGGAGTATTATCTGTTACATAAGGGTGAGTTGTACAGTTGTAGGGAGTATTATCTGTTACATAAGGGTGAGTTGTACAGTTGTAGGGAGTATTATCTGTCACATAAGGGTGAGTTTTACAGTTGTAGGGAGTATTATCTGTTATATAAGGGTGAGTTGTACAGTTGTAGGGAGTATTATCTGTTACATAAGGGTGAGTTGTACAGTTGTAGGGAGTATTATCTGTGTACATAAGGGTGAGTTGTACAGTTGTATTGTAGGAGTATTATCTGTTACATAAGGGTGAGTTGTTGTACAGTTGTAGGAGTATTATCTGTCACATAAGGGTGAGTTGTACAGTTGTAGGGAGTATTATCTGTTACATAAGGGTGAGTTGTACAGTTGTAGGGAGTATTATCTGTCACATAAGGGTGAGTTGTACAGTTGTAGGAGTATTATCTGTCACATAAGGGTGAGTTGTACAGTTGTAGGGAGTATTATCTGTGACATAAGGGTGAGTTGTACAGTTGTAGGGAGTATTATCTGTCACATAAGGGTGAGTTGTTGTACAGTTGTAGGGAGTATTGTATGAATGTAGTTGTGTATTTCTCACTGTTGGTTAGTTCACATTTATTATTAGAGATAAAAAGTCTTGGTTTGTTAAATGGACACATTTGGGGCAGTAAATTAGTGTAACTGAAGTTTACGTGTGAAACGAATCTGTTGTTTAGGCTTCATAGTTTATAGAATTAAAATGACCAAATAAAGAAAGTTAAATCTCTTTGCATCTGTCTGATGTAGTGGTCATCTTGGGACCACATCTGTTGCTGTTCCTCAACGTGCATCTGACCATCTGACCATCTTTATGCAGCATCTCTGATTCCTGTGGCTCAGTGCCATGATCCTGGGCCTGTTGGTGTTTTTGCTTTTGTTTCATAGATCTGTGTTTTTGGTTCTGTTTGTGTTTTTGTCTCTGTTCTAAACCTGTGTTGTTGGTTTTGTTTCAGGGCATGAAGTACCTGCACCTGCGTGGCCTGAGCCATGGTCGGCTCAAGTCCACAAACTGCCTCGTGGACGGGCGCTTCGTTCTAAAAATCACTGATTATGGACTTCCCATGATCCTCCACTCTCAGGGTCTGCCTGTCACAGAAGACCATCAGGGTAAAGCTCATGTTTATCACAGACTCCATCTTGGGATGGGATTGGGTTAGTGACAGTACCACACAAATCGACAAGAACCATTTTCAAGATGCTATACACAAAATTCACTCCTGTGAGCTTTAAGCCCTGTTGCAATGCTGTTACCTCCTCAAAAACATGACTGGATTGAGTTTTGTTTCATTCACACCTTTGAATAACACTTTATTATTAGTTTTCTGCTCTAGAAAATAACTCAGCCTAAATGTGCAGGGTTTGTGTGTTGAACATGTGGGAATGAAACAAAACACAACACCAGGTCTGTTTGGGAACAACAGGGTTTGGGTTAGTGCAGTTTTACAGTGTGAAATAAGTGTCTTCTATTGTTTCTTTTGCTGTTTGTGCTTGTCTGACTCATTCAAAGCAAAGGGTGGATATTTAATTAAAAATTATTTTATTAAAGTTATTTGGAGTTTATTTTAGGAAAAAAAATACTAAATGAAAACTAGTTATGAAAAAGTGTGTCCAAACTATTGACTGATGAGGTTCTTTTGACTGCATTAGTATAAATTAAAGTCCTAACCCTAACCCTGTGTCTGTGTTTTGCGTCTGTGTTTTGTCTGTGGTCGCAGGCCTCTTGTGGACTGCCCCTGAACTGTTGAGGAACCCCATCAGAGGAGGCTCTTATGCCGGAGATGTTTTCAGCTTCGGAATCATCATCCAAGAGGTCATCACCAGGACTCTGCCTTATGCCATGATGGACATGCCAGCCCACGGTGAGCGCCCCCTACTGACTGTCCCTCTGTTGGGGGGAAGGGGCATTATCTTCAACAGCCTTGTTCTTGATTGGCTCTAGAGTTACTATGTTAGTTGCACTCGGAATTGCAAATATGGAACTGGGCTACAGATTAACTGCTATAACTGCTAGCATCAGTGAGCTTCATTTGGAGCCAAACGCTGTGGGTGATGTCACACTCACCTCTTTATACAGCCTATGTTCAGGGGTCACTGTTTCAAACCATGAGTGCTCTGAGCAGCCCAGTGTCAGTGTTATATTTCAGGTTTTGTGCATTATATTTGTTCTGTTTGATGCAGAGATCGTGGAGCGTGTGAAGGACCCCCCTGCTGGGGCCCCTCAGTGCAGACCTGTAGTGTCTGTGGACGAGGCGCCTACAGAGTGTCTGGTTCTTATGAGCGAATGTTGGAGCGAAGATCCTCAGAACCGGCCCAGTTTTGATGACATCTTTAAACAGGTGACCCTAACCCTAACCCGAGCACACAGAGCCAATTCTGATTATTTTTACTTTTTCAGTTTCGTGGGATAAATCGAGGAAAAAGAGCCAATATCATAGACTCAATGCTAAGGATGCTGGAACAGTACAGTTCAAATTTAGAGGATTTAATCAGAGAGAGAACCGACGAGCTGGAAGTGGAAAGAACCAAGACTGAAAAACTAGTGTCACAACTACTGCCCAAGTAAGAGACAGCACCATTCTGTTCTGCTTATTCCTGTTCAATAAATGCTAAATTATATTATGGTGTGACAAATACTCAATCAGAGATGAGTGGAATTGCAGGATCGAGTCAATGAGGATAACTGTTGGGCTTTGCAGGTCTGTGGCTCAGGCGTTGAAGAAGGGGAAACCAGTGGAGCCAGAGCATTACGCAGACTCCACTCTGTATTTCAGTGACATTGTGGGCTTCACCACCATCTCGGCCCTCAGTGAGCCCATTGAGGTGAAAGAATGCCCCATAACTACCCCAGCCTCTTACTCCCATGCTCCAGTAACTCTGTGTCTGAAGTCTGCCTTTGTCCTGCAGGTTGTCGATTTGCTCAATGACCTCTACACAATGTTTGATGCCATCATTGCTTCACATGATGTTTATAAGGTAAAATACATTATGAGCCTAATACTACTGCCCCTGAGTTTGATACTACTGCCCCTGAGTTTGATACTACTGCCCCTGAGTTTGATACTACTGCCCCTGAGTTTGATACTACTGCCCCTGAGTTTGATACTACTGCCCCTGAGTTTGATACTACTGCCCCTGAGTCTACCCCACATAACAATGCTGTGAGTCTTTTACTACTTCAGTACCTGACCACCACCTGGAGTGGAGTGAATAGGACAGGGTCTAAAAGACACAATTTAAAGTGAATCTATTATTATTTTGGTTCTAATTGCTCTGATGTCCTCAGGTGGAAACGATTGGAGATGCCTACATGTGTGCGAGTGGCGTTCCAAACAGAAACGGGAGTCGCCATGCAGCTGAAGTGTCTAATATGTCTCTGGACATTCTTCACGCCATCGGAGCCTTTCGCATCAGACACATGCCGGAAATCAAAGTGAAGATCCGCATTGGGCTGCACTCAGGTCAGAACTTTGCAGATTAATCAATCAGAACCACAGGTTGTACATTGTTATATATCAAACTCCCAAGTGGGTCTCATGCCGATGAAGGGAGAGAAAGTGCTCGATGTTTCTGTTTTTCCAGACAATTTATAAAGGTGCCCAAAGTTGGGCTTCAAAGTGTGTAAGTTAGCTTTATTCTGGGTCAGTGTCTGGGAAAAAATAAAAAAAGTTGTTAAACTGGGTCGTATTGAGTTTTAAGGTCCGTTACTTGTGTGGAGGATTAGTTCTGGTTCAGTGAGCAGCTGGACTGAGGCTCTGTACTGTAATAATGTTATAATCTTATTACAGAATAATAAGTCATACATGAGGTGTCATAGGTAAGAGTAAAAGTCAGTTTTTCCGTACTGTACAGACACTTTGTAAACAGAACATCTGCATTGTAAAGTCTGGGATTGTCCGTGTTCCATATGACTTGTCTCTAATGCACTTTCAGTCGAGGAGTTTAAGTTATCTTCCAAATATCACAAACTAACAACAAACAGGGTTGTTTTGGCAACTGTTAGTGCTGAAATGAACATAAACCCTAACCCTAACCCAAATAATGTGCAACAAACATTTGGACAAAAGGTGTTTGCCTGTGCACCCTGTAAATATCAAAACACATATTTTACTTTTTTTTTTTTCATGTTTAATTTAATTAATAAAAATTAATTTACATAAGTACCAATGATATATTATGTCCAGTGCAGCAGAGGTGTAATGTAATAATATGTAATGAATGTAATAAATGTAAATCTTGTTTCTTTCAGGCCCGGTGGTCGCTGGAGTGGTGGGTCTGACCATGCCCCGGTACTGTCTGTTTGGAGACACAGTGACCACAGCATCTCACATGGAAGCCACAGGACTGCGTGAGTGCCACTAATGATAAAGTTATTCTTTATGTGTAAACACATAGTACAGTTAGTAAGCATGAGCCTGAGCATAACCCACTGCTTTACTGTAGAACCCAATGATCTCTGTGTGTTTTACAGCGTACAGAATCCACCTGAGTCTAAGCACGGTCAAAGTCCTCACCAGCCTCAAACTGGGATACCACTTTGACACCAGGAAATCCAATGTAAGGAGCTTGTAATATCTGACAAACATGAACAGCCATTGGTCTGTGCAGCCTTCAAATGTAATTTATGTAGCTGCCTCAAACCCCAAACCCTAAACCCTAAACCCATAACCCTAAACCCAATATAAGGGCAGCAGATGTGGGTGTGTGGGAGTGGACAGAACATCTATCTTCTGTGAACCACTTTCCTGTGCACGTTCAGGTTAAAGGGGAAGAGGACACATATTGGCTGATCGGTTGTGATGGATTCACCAAACCTTTACCTGTTCCTCCCGACCTCACTGGAGGGTAAATAATGCTATAATTAAATAATAATGATTATGTTATTATTATTATTAAATAATAATAAATGAACATAAATAATTAATTATTATTTAAATATTTCTGATTGTGGCATGGTTCTTTAGGGCGAGTAACCACGGCATCTCTTTGGATGAAATCCCAATTGAACGTCGTCAACGATTCCTCGACCGTCAAAAAAAACAGAAGAAATAAAACAGTTAAAAAAAATGCCCACAGCGCCACCTAGACCTCAACACTGGACTGCAACAGCAAACATGGTTCTATTTTGGCACAGCACCGCACAGTGCCACCTAGTGTCAGAAACTAGTTTTCAGCTTTGACACTGACTGTCGCCACATCTCTGTGCCTCATACTCAGTTCTCAGTGATTTTTTTTTTTTTTACAGGTTTTAAAAGGACTTTCATCCATAAGCCAATGAATATGTTGTATTCCATTTTAGTAAAATAGATTAGAGGATGTTAGCTTTAAATATTCTATATAAATTGTTTATTAGAAGGTGAATATGACAGATTGAAACACAGATTATATCAGTTTCACTGGGTCATTTAGAAACTTTTGAATCAGGAAATGTGGAAAAAATAGATTTAAACGCATCTAAACACATTTATTCATAGGACAATGCTCAACATTATAAAGGAGATCTGTCACTATTTCACAGGAAAATACTGAATTGAATCAAATGGCAAATATTTATAGTATCCCTTTATAAAGTATTAGAAATTGAGTTTGTAGCATCTAACCCTTTTTTTCTTTTAGTGATCATATTCTACAAAGAAATATTTCATTTATTTGAGTGAATTTGATCATGGAAAGCTGGAACCATATTTTATTTATTATGTGAAATAAATATGGCTTTTGACACACGACTTTCTGCACCTGTGTCTACACGCACACACACACATACTCAGGGTTAGGGGTTAGGGTTTAGGTTTACAAGTAAAAGGGTTAGCATTCCTCCACTGATGACCTTCATTTGCACAGTCACAGTGGAGCAACTTCTGAGCAAATGAATCTTCATTTACAGTATTTATTATTACATTACTCATTTCTTTGTCAGTTCATTGTTTATGTATTTATTTATTTGGTTTATTTAGCAGGGACAGTGTACATTAATTATTATTAATTAATATTATTATATAACATTTATGTAAATAATAAATAAATAAATATAATTATAATACTATTAATTATCATTTATTATTATTATTAATTAACATTTCTGTAAATATAGCAGAATTATCCAGAGAGGGCCGTTAGGGTTAGGGTTAGGGTTAGGGTTAGGGTTAGGGTTAGGGTTAGGGTTAGGGTTAGGGTTAGGGTTAGGGTTAGGGTTAGGGTTAGGGTTAGGGTTAGGGTTAGGGTTAGGGTTAGGGTTAGGGTTAGGGTTAGGGTTAGGGTTAGGGTTAGGGTTAGGGTTAGGGTTAGGGTTAGGGTTAGGGTTAGGGTTAGGGTTAGGGTTAGGGTTAGGGTTAGGGTTAGGGTTAGGGTTAGGGTTAGGGTTAGGGTTAGGGTTAGGGTTAGGGTTAGGGTTAGGGTTAGGGTTAGGGTTAGGGTTAGGGTTAGGGTTAGGGTTAGGGTTAGGGTTAGGGTTAGGGTTAGGGTTAGGGTTAGGGTTAGGGTTAGGGTTAGGGTTAGGGTTAGGGTTAGGGTTAGGGTTAGGGTTAGGGTTAGGGTTAGGGTTAGGGTTAGGGTTAGGGTTAGGGTTAGGGTTAGGGTTAGGGTTAGGGTTAGGGTTAGGGTTAGGGTTAGGGTTAGGGTTAGGGTTAGGGTATTGTTAAAGACCCGACCCCGTTCGGGGACAGGTAATGCACGGGCTCTCCATCGGGCTCAGGCCCAACGCCCCTCCGTCATCTGTCCATTTGTTTGGTTCGTCACTGTTGTTGTGTTTTATGTCGTCCTTGTTGTCGTTCAAGTTTGTTAGTCTCATTGTTTGTGTTTGTGACTTTCTTGTGTTTCATTGTTTGTTTGCTCTCATTTCTGCAGTTGTACATCATCTCTGCTTATCTTGTTGCTTTTTTGCATTTTTGTAGCTTCTTTGCTTTTTTGTAGCATCATCTCTGCTTATCTTGTTGCTTTTTTGCATTTTTGTAGCTTCTTTGCTTTTTTGTAGCATCATCTCTGCTTATCTTGTTGTTTTTTTGCTTTTTTGTAGCTTCTATTTCTTTCTCAAGTGCCATCCAGACCAACGTTTCGGACAATTGTGAGTCCTTCTTCAGGGTCGAGGCACTAACTTAAAACATTAAATGCGGGGAGTTGTTTCCCTCTGTGGGTGGGAGAGATGTTTCCCTTCTTTCTTTTTGTCTGCAGAAATGAGAAATGGAGACATGCGTGTGTATATAGGCAGGGAGGGGGAGGAGGGAGGGGGGAGGGGACTTGTCCCAACCAATCCCAGTCCACTCCAACCCTGCTGTTGTGGGGCAATATTGCCATCAAGTGGTCTGGGGCTATATTGCCACCAGGAATCAAAAAATTGTGAGCACCGTCACTATTGGTAAGTATCAATGTTCATAAATCATATCCAACATATCAAATTGAAATAAAGAAATTTAAATCCCCCCCATCAGTCCAAATTGGTTTGTTTTAATGGCCAAGCTAGGGTTAGGGTAAGGGGTCAGGGTAGGGTTAGGGTTAGGGTTAGGGGTTGGGGTAACGGTAAGTATGGGGTTAGGGTTAGGGTTAGGGATTGGGGTAAAGGTAAGTATGGGGTTAGGGTTAGGGTTAGGGTTAGGGTTAGGGTAAGGGTTAGGGTTAGGGTTAGGTCAGGGCCAGTCCAGTGTCGGAGTATGATGGGCACAAGTTGTAGTGGTAAGTCCTAAATATAGCCGGATGTGTGTCCAGCATGAGGTCTGTATTCCGCCAGATGTGTGTCCAGCAAGACCAGTAAGTATGAGTCCCGTGTATCAGCCAGATGTGTGTCCAGCATGAGGTCTATAATCCGCCAGATGTGTGTCCAGCAAGACCAGTAAGTATAAGTCCCGTGTATCGGC